TCTCGCCACCTCAGCTTTTCAGCTGCCTGTTCAAGTAGGCGCGACATAAACGCCGCCCAGACCGCCACAAAGCTTTGATTGGGTGAATTTAGGCCCCCAAATCTGCCCAGGTATGACTGCATTGAAGAGAAGGTGGGAGAGGCTCGAAGGGACACGGCAGTTGCAGACCCGTTTACTTTCCGGCTCGCGATCCGAACAACAGCTATACAATTGATCGCTGTAGCTAAGGTAGCCACAAAAGACTTGCGCAGTTCTTTACGAAGCGTGAGTATCATTTCTCTGTGGCGAAAAGGTTTGGCAGGCCATCGTCAGATAGGGAGGTGCTGCGCTACGTGTCCATCGTAGGCTTGACGAGTCCACCGTGCAGCAAGACAGAAACGGGCTGCGAGCGTCTGATGATCTATCGAGAAGGTCATCAACGCGCACTGGAACGTGCGACGCACCCCGGAATGTGTATACCTGTTCGATATTGTGGTGGTAAGAAAGTTGGAGTTCAGAGCGAGGAAGCTGCTAGTGAGCCTAGCAGCTACTTCCTCTGTGCCGAGTCATGCTCCAAGCCAACCGTCCAACTGCGCTGGTGTTGCGCGAGTCATTGACATCTATGCAGCCACGAAAACCTTGAGACTCGTCCACATGGTTGTCATCAGTCTTACTGCATCACTGTTACAATTAGCCCGGGCCTACACCTGCTTTGACTCATGAGACATGTTGCTACATTGGAACAGCAAATCGATGAAATCGGGAAATTACAAAACATCACTCTCACAGTTGATACGCCATCATTGTTGTTCATTCGTCTTTCATTCATGAACCGGTAAAAACCAGTCTCATCGGGGTATATACAACTCTCTACTCCTTGCTCAAATCCGCAATCTGCAAAACCGCCTTACCAAAGTTCTTTCCCTCCAGCATACCAATAAAGCCGTCAACCGCATTATCAATGCCCTCGGTAACACTAATCTTCGCCTTGAAAGTGCCCTCAGACAACCACTTCTGCAGCTTCTCCTGGTGCTCCTTCGCGTGCTTAGGACCCATGTTCTCGTCGCCAACAATGAAACCACGGATAGTAAGGCGCTTGGCAACAACGTTCATGAGGTTGCGGATGGGGTACTGCTCGCCGGGCTTAGCGTTGTACTGGGAGATCATGCCGCAGGCGACGATGCGACCGAAGTTGTTCATGGCGTTGATGGCGGCTTCGAGTTGCTCGCCGCCGACGTTTTCGTAGTAGATGTCGATGCCGTTGGGGGCGAGGCGGGCGAGGGCATCGGCTGGCTTCTCGGTCTTGTAGTTGAAGCCGGAGTCGAAGTTGAGCTCCTTGGTGATGAAGTCGAGCTTCTTGTCATCGCCGACGGAGCCGATGACGGTGAGGCCCTCGTGCTTGGCGAGTTGGCCGACGAGCTGGCCGACGGCGCCTGAGGCGGCGGAAATGAAGATTGTCTCGCCCTTCTTGGGTTGGCCGATCTCGTAGAAGGAGGACCAGGCGGTTAGACCGGGCATGCCGAGGGGACCGAGGAAGTACTTGGGGTCCAGGTTGTAGGGGTTCTTGAGCTCGATGCAGTTGGCGACGGCGTCCTTGTCGAGGACGGAGTACTCCTCAATGGGGCTGATGCCCATGGTGATGAGAGTTTGGCCCTCCTTGAACTTGTCGCTGGCGGACTTGACGACCTTGAAGATGGAGCGGTTGGTGATGGGCTTGCCTAGCTCGAAGGGAGGGGAGTAGGACTTGACGTCGGGTGCACGCATGCGGCCACGCTGGTAGGGGTCGAAAGATGCGTAGAAGTTCTTGACGAGAAGAGCACCCTCTGGGAGCTTCTGGTCGAGGTCGATGTCGCGGGCCTCAACAGCGAGGTCCTGGCCTGGCTTTGGCCATCCCTCTGGGACCTTCTTGAAGATGACGCCCTTGTTCTGAACCATGATGGTGTGTTTGTGTTGTGTAGAGTTGGGTATTAGGAAGGAAGAAGTAGGGTATCTTGTGTTGGTGATGTAGAGTGGTTTAATAATTTGATGCTGGAGATTGAGACACAAGCAGCTGGCTATATACCAACACCTCTAGCTGACAAACTGTGATTTCACCGCCGAGAGAAAGACCCTGATTGCATCATGGGTGGAGGGAGGGACCCGGAGGCGCCGTCCTAGCACGGCAAGCCCAGTCGTAACGTTGCATATCGGCCAGCGACCGGCAAAGAGGCGCAAAACGAATATTCGTCCGACTCTAGAAGCCACGACTTCGGCCAGGTGTCTCGACGCGGGGCACGAAACTTGTCGCAAATGCAGAATCTTCGAGACAACGTTGAACGACACGAAGCCATGACGAGGGCTCGCGCCGGGAGTCACCCGCTTTGGGAAAGGTGCCCGCTGCGAGATTTAAGGCTGAGCCGAGGCAAGTGGGGCGTGGATTGGTAATGGAGGGGTGTAGCTAGAAGTCGCTATGGATTCAATGCACTCAGCGGTGAGAATGCTAGTAGTGTGCTGACCTGGAAGGCTTAATGAAACGTCCGAGCATATTTCTGATCCGTCGTGTGCATTGGCAATAGGAGCAGCATGTCAGAAAATGATCGCGAGCAAGCCGATTGCGTCTCAAAGCGTATCGTACGAGAACCTTTACAGTATTCATGCATAGTCTGCCGGGAGGATACGGACGTAAGTCGGTAGATTTGATTCCTATGTCTCCGTTGGATGCGGTACGGGATGAACCACTTGGGTATTTGTCAACCATCATCTTCCCTCGACAGCAGTAAACTGCTCCATAGAGCTATCTGACCTAGCCTAGCTTCAGGAAATCTATCATAACCTTTACTCCGTGTAAACACAGGGAAGTTCCCTTCTTATGCGATGTCATGCTTAGTCCCGTCGTCGAAGGCTCTTACGCCCAGGTGGAAATTTGTATGCATGCCATACACTATCGCTCGCCTGATGTACTTGGAGGTTCTTGTGCTACTCCTCCTCTTCTTCCTCTCTGCTGTCCACAAAGAAGTCTCCCTCTTCCTCCTCAGGCTCCATGACCTTCTCTATCAGCTTCAGCGTCTGCCGTAACGGCAAACCGACAACGTTGTCGTATGACCCTTCTATACGCTCGATGAGGCACGCGCCCGCTGTCTGTATACCGTAGCCGCCTGCTTTATCGTTACCGTCGCGCGTTTTGACGTATGCGAGGATCAGTTCGTCGGTCACTACTCGTGTTAGCTTTCAATTCAGCCATGTCTCAACAGGAAGAAGTACCAGTAGGATCAAACATAACCGTTGTCTCTTCAACATGCGTCTCCATGGCATATCCCGGATCTACCGCAGACTCTAATGGCTTCATCACCGCAACGGCGGTCATAACCTTGTGCGCGCCCTCATCTCTCAGCATCTTCAGCGTTGCTATATGGTCTGCCTCGCTCTTTGGCTTCTCCAGTATCCGCCCGGCGTGCGATACTACGATTGTGTCGGCGGCGATAACAATGGCAGGTTCGCCGCGCTCGCGATTGTTAATCTCGGTTTTGTATACGTCATGCGCTTTGGCGGATGCGGTTTCGAGGACATAGTTCAGCGCGCCGAGCGAGTGGTCTAGGTTTTCGGCGAACTTGGAGGGGACTACGTCGATTTTTGTGAGGCCGATCTGATAGAAGTCAGTATCTGGCATGTCCATGGCCGGGTAGATGTGATGCTACCTGTGCGAGAAGCTGTCTTCTACGTGGTGACGCGCTCGCAAGCACAACTCTCGATCCTCTCAACTCATTCAGCGCTGGCAGATTTAGTGGCGGAGGAGGTGGCCTCTTCGCTAATGGTGTGCCCGATGCCGACTTGTTTTGTGGGATTGGTGACTTCCGCGCATCTTCATACGAGGGCGGGGGGTCGGACGGTAGTAGGGGCTCTTTGACGTCCATTGTGGCGAATGAGGTATGTTTAGCGATCAGGTAATATGCAGAGACTGCACTTCAATAATAAAAGGTCAAAGAATTGGGTATTCGGCGCGATTGTAGTGATGTTGGGGATATCTTTCGAGGAAGCTTTGGATTTCGGGGATGCTTCAGGGTCCAAGCTCCTGCGCCACCCGACTGGATGACGTTCGACTGGGGAGCCGCAACGCAGATCTCTCCTTCTTCTTTTTTTCAACGATGCAACTACAAACTACACTCAATCACTGCAACGAAAGACTGTAACGTATTGGAAACGATGTTCTAGAATTCTGACGATCAGCAGTAAGTCGCGTGCACACGGACATCAAGACCGCAACTCATTTTAGCTACTCCGATCTGCACCCATTTCTACACGGCACAGTTCCCAAATCCTTTCCATCTCTTGCGCACAGTCACCCATTTCTACACGGCACAGTTCCCAAATCTTTTCCATCTCTTGCGCACAGTCATGTACAGCGTAGATGTTAACATCGGCATTCTCACGCTCTTTCCCTCCCATCGATTGCGCAGGGATCCAAAAGTGCAATATGCCATGACTAAAGTAAGACACATAGAACCGACGTTTCTCCCCCGTACGCCGGTTCATAAGATACTGCTCTTCCTTCTCCTGATCCCCTGTCGATCTGTATGGGACATGAAATGGCGTCCACAGATACGTATCTTGTCCAGCTAAACGAAACTCGGCTCCTTGTGGGTAGTAGTAGGCTCCCTGTGGGTAGTACTTGCTTTGGTTGACGCTGTAGCCACATGTATTTATGCGTAATGTTCCAACGCTGTAGTCCGAGTTGATTTGATGTTTACACCATGACTGACGTGTCAAGGTAAGGTAATCAACTGAATACAGTGCCCATTTTCCCTGCAGGGACTCCATGGGAAAGGCTTTTCGACGGAAAATCGATTGCCACACAAAGAATGCGAAATCCTTCCAGTTGAAATGGTAGATCCATTGTTTTGCAAGGGCCTTCTCGTAGACATCATCCGGACTTTCGCTTGGTGGTACAGTACCTGCTGGGCCCGCGCTCGCAGCTTCTGGTTTCTCAAGTTTTGTTCGTCCTGGTTTGTGAACTTTGTCACATTAGCTGAGGTACTGACACGAGCTTAGAATGTATACTTACCGGAAAAGAGATCAGCACGCCTGCATAGCTGACATGAACCTTGATCGCTGGGTTTCGGTCCAGTCGAAGACGTCGGCGCAAGATATCGTGTGCGACTTTGGGGTAAAGTGAAGGTGTACGGCGCTTCGTCTTGTGATGCTGATCTGCTCTTATAGTCCGTTACGAGTCCTGTAGTTGCCATGTCTTCTTCTGTTTTATCCAGGATCCCAACGAACACGTAGTGGTACTCATCAGCAGTACCACCCAGTTCTTCCGGTGGTATCGCAATGATCAGATATGGACCCTCACAGAACCACAGTGATATGCCTTTTGTATCCTCGTTCGGAGAAATGACACCATCGTCTTCCGGGCGGCGATCTCCCTGGCAAACGCGGTCCAATGCCTCGAAATACCCGAATGTAAGGGGACGTTCGATCCCAGGGATTACACATTCAGCCCCAAGATCGCCATCACTTCCCAAATGTTTCTCGAAACAGATACTGCCTGCCGTCCATGTGCTGGCGAACTGGTCGGTCCAAAGAGTTGGAAAGTTCTTATAGTGAGTCTGGAGGTATACGGGAGAATACAACGTATATTCACCGTAGATAGGTAAGGTTGGGGCGTTGATTGATCCGCTAGCGGCTTCTTGTGTCGACTCTTCTTCTTCTATCATCGACGTAGCATGTTCCAAGGCACGCATAGCTTTATCTTCGTATTTCAGATGTAGATGGTATGCACTTTTGACGGCGGGTGGAAGGCCGTAGTCTTCATCAGGGTCGGACGCGCTAGACGCACTGTTTCCTCCACTCTCGGTCTCGTTTTCACTAGAGGAATCTTCGTCGTCGCTCGAGCTCCACGGGTCTGAATCACTCTCCTCGGGTGCGATAACCATTGTCTGTGCTGATTCGACGTAATGAGTGTTCATAGCTGCAAATGTTCCGGAAGGTCCTGCTTGTTGAGGCACAAGTTTGCAGTGGTTTTCGGTGCCCTTGTGCAATATCGCTGTATCTAGTTGTTAGTCTCCGCGTCTCAGAGAAAATGAACGCGCACTTACTCAAGGATCAGCTGTAATCCGAAGCAATTGTATGAAGCTGAACTCCTCTTCGTTTTTTCGTTCACTGCCAGCCATTTTATAGATGAAGAAGACGCGACCAGCCTCCACTAGCGCTTGTGATACCTTAGCGTGTCGAAGTCGCGTTCACGGCTTGACACCTAAAAACCACGGGCCGACTCAAGATATCGAAAACCAGCCTTCTCTTTTTAAAAGGGCCTACATTTGAACCGGTACGCATCATCTTCGCTAAAGAAAACAGGTATATTGTACATTATTGACAGCGGACGTCCTGTCCGGTGGCCGCAGTAGGTGCGAGATATCGAGTCCGGCCTTGGGGTAAGACAGGGTTGTACGGTGTTTTGTAATGAGGTTGCGGCTTCCATTCCGGCATTCCCGGCCACCATTCTGACATCTCCTCCTCGTCCCTCTCCAGAATTCCATGAAGGTGGATTGTTTCACCAGAGATATCCGCGATGTCTAACAACAGATGTGCGCCATCCAAGAACCAAATTTCAGCCTCTGCTGTGACATTATTACTGTGCCAATAAGCTGCACAAGACTGCGACTGCGTCGACGGATGTTCTGGAGCAGTATATGTAAAAGTTATACGGTGGGCGTTTTTGGCCAGTTCGACTTCAGCGCCAGGACCTATACCGTCTCCCCAACGTTGTCCCAGTCGTAAGGTACCAGTGCGCCAGTAGCGCAAGACATCCCCTTTGAACCAGTGTGGCCTCTGCTCAATCCCTTCTCGCAACATGTCATCAGAATAAAGTGTATATTCTCCGCGAATGTAGGCCGGCGGTTGTGGACCCTGCAGAGCAACATTGCCGTTGTTATCGTTCCGAGTACGCAGCTTCTCTTTCAGATTGATATAAGCTCGTAAAACGTCGTTTTGATAGTGGATTTCTCTTCCCAGAAGATCTTCCACCGCCTCCTTGTTTTCGATGAGCTGGATCATCTTCGTCTCATACTTGGCGATGATAGCCTTTTGTTCGCGCTCAAACTCGATTCGCGTTTCCACATCGGCATCTTGTTTCTTTTTACGTGTCGATCCCGGGTTGGACCAAGACCGGGCATATTTCGTCGCTCTCCTATTCTCGAGAAGCTTGACCATCTCCTTCTCATACTGGAGGAGGAGAGTTTCTGATAAGCGGTCGAAATAGGTCAAGTCTGTGGCCCACCAAGCGAGCTGAGTCTCGTTCTGATACTCGACGAGCATAGCTCTTCCTATGCGCTCGAGATCGGTCTGCCCGAACCCAACATAATGCAGCTCTTCGTGTTTGGGTTTCGACGGCCCCTTCGTCGCTGCACCAACATCTGATCGGTCCTGGTGTTCATCGATTCTGACGTTTGTGGACTTTGCAGGAACAGGAGGCTTTGCGTGAACAGCAGGCTTTGCAGGAACGAAAGGTTTTGCGAAAACAGAAAGCTGTGCAGGAACAGAAGCCGAAGCAGAGACAGGAGGTTCTTTCGGAACGACTCGGAAGTAATCCTTGATTTTGCCGTCCCGTGTAAGCTTGCGCGTAGCTGCTGTGAATTGTTAGAAGCGGTTTTTTCCTAGCCAAGCTATGCTGCACATACGCTTGACGTGTGGACTCTTCTTGATTGGAGCCATTGGGATGTTGTGTGTGTGTTTACTGGTGACTGGTGAGGAGGCTGCCCCGGAAACCATTCCGAGAACGATACGCACGCTCCAATGCGACGAGATAGGAAGCGTTCACCCCTGATTAGCGTGCAAGGGTCATTAGCGCGTCGCGTCCGAGGAATGAGACCGAAAAGCAGCTTTAATTTTCACCCAGCCTTCTCTGTTAAAGCAAGTTTCTTATTAATCCCGCACTCATTATTTTATTGCTGGCAAGAATGAGTGGCTGGCAGTATCAATGATTCTGTTGGGCCAAGCTAATCCTACGTAGGTGGCCTGGCGTCTCGTCCGGTCTACTCAAACCCCGTCCTTGTGCCGAAAAGAGCTATCCAACCCGGGCTCTGGTAGACTCTCCGAGGTCCAGGATCGATACAGGCCATTCGGTTTCGCTCCTCAAGCTGCGCCCTCAATTCCAAATCATGCTTCGGGCAGTCCTCAATGGGACACTTTTCCCCCATATGCTCGGCAGAACAGAAAAACTCTTCAGGGTCGGAGTCGCCCTCTGTGTAAGACCCTTGGTACTCCCATCGATCATCCACTTTCGCCCACTCCATTTCGCGGGTATGCCTGTCCTTCGTGCGTGAGACAGCAAAGAAAGCGATGGGCTTTTCGCCCTCGCCTCCGACCAAACATGCAGGTATGCTGAGACAGAGATAACCGTTTCCCAGGAATCGAAGGCATCGCTCGGGAATCCCCGGCTTATTGTAATACAAGGTCTCCTCTAAAGCGACTGTAGAAGGAACACTAATCTTTGGTATGTTAAAGTTCAGGCCCGGCGTTTCGGAAGGATAAGGCATTTTGAACACCAGCTCATACCCAGGTTCGCCAACGCAATCTCGTATCAAAAGCTTCCCGCGTTGGAGGTGTAGGTTCTTGGTTTCCATGTCCGTGATGTCTTCACAGTTGTCTTGCTGCATCTGATGGTGCACATCGGAGTAGAGAGCCCATTCGCCTTTGACGTCTCCCACGGGATGTTCTCTGCCTTGTGCGATCTCTTTGTCAACCCATCGAACCAGGGCCCATCCCTTGGCGATGTATTCTTGGTGCTTCTTGAGGGCGAGTGCCCTCTTCTCTTTCAGGTAATTCGCGAATACACGCGGATCTGGCGGAAGCTCCTCGTACACGTTCATCTCGTCCTCGGGTATGTCATCCTCAGCGGCATGAACTCCGGGCATACCGTCTTCAGCGATGTCGTCCTCGGGCACATCGTCTTCGACTCCAGACATGTCGTCCTCGGTCGAAGTGTCTCCGTCCAATCTGTCCGAGTCGCTTTCTCCTGGTCTTATCACGATCCTACCCCTAGGCGGGTTGTTTCTCCGGTCCTCCAACTCTGCTTCTATGTACCGTGCCCAAGCTTGTCTCGGGCTGTCTCCTTTGGGCTCGGGCTCGGGCTTGGGCTTGTCGGCTTCGGCGTACTGTGCAAGAAACTGCTCGACTTGCTCTTGTGATACCGGTTCCTTGCCAACATCATTATTTCCCCAGAACTGCTCGTCACAAAGCCTGACTAGTACCTGCTCTAGATGCACGAGCAGCGCCTCAGGAATGCCCTCATCTAGCAGGCAATCGTGCATTGCGTCCATGAAAGCTTGGTAATCCGGATTCCAGGCTTTTATGCGACCGTAAGACTGTACTGCTTCGGCATAGTGTCTTACAGCGTCTTGGTAGCACATGATGCGCTTCAATGTAGCTTCTGCGCCGTACCCAGCACTAGACCATCGTTCATCGATCCCTGTAGTTTATTAGTACCGATCGCGCAAGACACTGAACTCTGGCGTACGGTCTATGAAGGATTTCAATTCTTCGCTTGGGCTCATAAACACTTCTCCTATCGTGACTGTCGTGGTTAGTTTCGCGCTAGACGACGGTACCTTGGCAGACTTACCATTTGGGCATGCCATGTTGACGTCAGAAAATATGTTGATCTGGGTATGTGGCGTAGCTGTAACAGAAGTGTAGTTCGAAATGTGACGTTGCGACGCGTTTTGCGTGGCCAGAAAAGGCTCGAAACGGTGTCCATGGTTACGGAAAGGGGCTGCACTAGCCGTCTTTGACTCGCCGCATTGAAAAAAAACGGTCCACTAACTCGACGAACAATGTAAGATACAATCATTTATTAAAACTCGGGGTTCAATGAATCGAAGTGCGTACAATGATCCGGACGGTCCGAACATTCGCTACGACTATCTTCTACAGCGCCGGTAGGCGGGTTGTACACCAGTCCATCAGGCGTCTTTCCCCACCACTCTCTAACCACACCACGCCGCCTTTGATGAGGACGAAAACCTGGCAAGTCCTCAGCGATAGCGTAGAAGTCGATGAGACCGTCTTCTCTGCTTCCTCTAATCTCGTGAGCTGGAATGCGTATCTTCATATGCCCATTCTCAACAAAGCATATGCGAAACTTCAGTTTATGCGGCGAGTCTTCGGTGGACATGATGGCGTTAAGTCGCTTAGAGTTTACAACGCTTCTCTCCATCGTCCACTTAAGATCGCCTGGGAAGTGATCGTACTGCGGTGGAAGAGTCAGGGTGCCCTTAGTAGGCCTACCGTCCACCCGGCCGTATGTTGTAATTCTGAAGTCGCCGCAACCGCCGCCGTGGAACAATTCATTATCAGTTCGCCAGCCTTTTTTAGCGACGAGCATGTCGAGATATGAAGTAGACCAGAGATTCCACTTGAGAACTTTGTTATAATCTTCCAGACTTGTTCTGCGTGCTTCCATGCTTTCGACGGTTTCTTCCTCTCCTGAAGCAATGCGTTCCTCAAGCCATGCTTCGATGGCTTTGCCACGCGCTTCTTGCTTCGCGTGTTTTGCTCGTGCCTTGTCGTAATCGCTGTACCAAATATCGCTGTCGCTGTCGCTTTCGCTGTCTGTGGTGTCTTCGTCGCTGGGCTCAGTTGTCTCAGGGTCGCTGTCCTCGAGACGCTCAATTAGTCCGCTGTCTCTTTCCTTTATTTTACTCGTTTTGATGCCATAGAACTCAATATCTTCCCTTATCGTGTAGAATGGTACCGCCTGAGCTCTCATACTCAAGTAGCCGTCGCGGAGGAAGACGAGAGTGATTCGCATTGACTCTTGGTTCATCTCCTTCTGTTTCTGCGATGCACCTCTGTAACGGACCTGCGATTCGTCACAGAATTTTACTGAGATCTCTTCAAGTGCGGGTATTTCGAGATCTGGCCACGATCCAGTAAATTCAACCTGCTCTTTGAGGCAGGTCCTCGTACCTAACTTGAACCACAAGTTCGCCTTGACTTCAACGTCGTCTCCTTGTCTCGAAATTTTCTCGATGTACAATCGACCGGGCGCATCGTCATGGACCGAACCATCGTGAATGCAGTTTCCATCCCCATCTGTAGTATCCTTGATGAAGCTCTTCGCTGTAAGAATGTAAGTCGCGAGTTTCAACGGAACCAAGGGCCTGTGGCCTTGCTGCAGCTGTTGATTAAGCCGTGCTTCAATTTGCTGGATGCCGCGCTCAGCGCAGTCGTTGTCGTCTCGACCTGGATTTTCGCCACTAGGAAAACTAAGAGCCTTGCGCTGCTTGAGAATCTGCCGAATTACTTTGCGACATTCCTTTTTACGACGCAGGTCTTTGGGTAACTTGCGTAGCTCCACTCGCTCACGCTCCTTTCTTGATATAATGCGCTTGTCCATGATGCAAAGCGCAGACTGAGAATCACCTGCCGAATGAAAATGTTTTGTGGTCGAAGTAAAGATGGAATGAAAAGACCTGCGGATGTTACGGCTGGGTCGGTTGTCACCGTGCACGTCATCACCTGATTGGTCTAACTCGATCAGGCTAGAGCTGCCTCCAGACATGCTGCCCACCTTTGTGTCCTCTTCGATAGCTTGTGCTTTTTCAGATGCAATATAGTTGCTCACATCTCTCACCGCAAGTTTTTACAATAAGTAGAGACTTGGATAAGTTTGCACCCTTTCAATCTGGAGAGAAGAAAGTCCACGGGTGCCAACCGAGTAGGAACGAAACGCATCAAACCTTGGAATAACCAGTCCCTTCGGTGTCTCCTCCCACCACTCCTGACCAGATATTTCGCACTTAGAGTTCCGTGGTATCTGAGATACCCTAAGCAACAGCATAGAAACTGTGAACATCATGGCCGTCGTAATTTACTCTCAAGTACCCATCTTCGAGAAAGATCAATGTCATGGGCCAGGGAGGCCGCATGCTGTGCAAGTTCTTGGTGGCTCTAGACAAGACCACGGGAACCTTTCCGAGCGCAGGCATCCGTGAATTTGGCCACGAACCCGTAAAACTTCCTTCCCAAACGTCACTGCCGTCTGGTAAACAGACGCTTACTTCCACCTCCACCTCATCGCCATGGCTCAATACCCTCTTCAGCTGCAGTTGGCCTTTCTCATAGCCATAGAGGGACTCATAGTATAGCTTCTTCCCAAACATGGTCATGCAGTCTATGTAGTAAGTTGAGTACAGGATATAAGTCGTTGGACGGAGAGTGGTGAAGGCCTCCTGGCCTTACCCAAGCGAGCGAGATAGCCGTGCTTCGACGTCGCGTACCTGAACCTCATACTTCGAGTGTCTTATGATTGCATGTCTGTAGGCGCGGAACTTTAGATCAAGCTCCTTCGGCGCCGAGTACCCTGTTTCGTTCGGCGGCATAGAGACGGACGGTGGGCGTTCTTGTCCTTCGTTTAGGCAAAATTCAGAATAACAATACACATTAAAGAGATCAAGGACGGCGAAGGTGGTTCCACAAGTTTGCACAGCGAGGAGAGCATTAAATACTTTTGCTCCCTGTGAGGTTGGGGTGAAGGAAGTGCTGACTGACTAACCAAATCCAGTGTAATGCAACGCGTCGCGCCCGCGCTGAGGGCCGATTACCATACAAACTACGATGTATAACAGCAAAACGATAACGATTAGCGCCTCCAACCAGGGCTTGAGCATCGAGACAGCGTTCTCCGGTACCGAAGATACTCTACAGATCTCAATCTACCAACTTCGTCTTGTCAACATGAAACATCTTGAGTATTGCCTCGTATGCTTCGTCGAAGTCGATCTTGTCAATCTCCTTCTGCATTTTCTCCCTGCCTAAGACAATCTCTTTGGCAATACTGGGCCAGTCGAGAGTATCATGACCAATCATCTCTTTCGCGCCGCTGTCTACATGCACTGGCAGTAGCTTCCCATCTTTCTTCCTTACGATACCATCGACAATGACAGTCTCGATATCAGCTGGACTGGAGTGTAGGATGATGGCGGCGACTGGGTCGTGTTGTGCAGCGCCGACCATGCTAGGACTCAGAGCATCGAAGATGACCAGATCTGCCTTGTACCCCTCCGCGATACGCCCAATCTCGCTGCTCGTGTTCGCAGCCTCTGCACCCTTGATCGTTGCAAGATTGAAGGCGGCCTCGACGCTGAGGCTCTCCGGAAGAGCTCGTGGAATCTTGTCTTGTTTCATAATGTGTTCGTTGTAGTGGTTTCGCGCATTACCGAGGCCGAGTTTTGCTTCAGCGATGATGGAGCCGGCCGTGGCGGAATGGCAATCAACACCGAGCGCGGCATTTTCCTGCAGTCCGATCGAATCTCCGCTTACGCCTCCATCCGGGAACGAGGCGTCGAAGCAGTAGGATCGCCCCATGGCCATTTGGAGTTCTGAACTCGGGGTCGAACTCACGAATGCACCAGCGGCCTTCAAAAGCTCAGCGTCAGCCTTGACAATCGTACCACCGTGCGAAACGATGATCTTCTCATCTAGTAGACCATTTTCCGACGCTGCTTGTATCACACTACCTCCTAGCGATACAGAGCCATGTGTGGTAATCGTCTTGACGCCTTTGGCATTCACCCTGGCGAATATGCCTTTGATCATATCTGCAGGCAGAAACCAAAAGTCGAAAGCGAAACCCAGCGTTACCCTGCCGTCTCCGAAAGGTCCTTTATCGGCGAGTTCTTCGAAGGTGTTCATAACCCAGTCTTCGAGAAGATTTGGATTCCAGGTGAGGGGGTTGAACTGCTTGACAAGCGAGATTGGAGTGTAGCAGAACACCGAGCGCATGCCGGAAGATGCAGTACCTGCGATGGCAGCTTTGGCGTGTTCGGGTGAGCGGGTGATATGTGCGTGCTCAACTATCGTGGTTGTGCCAGCTGCAATGCTTTCCAGTAAACTGGCGAGCTGGCCGTAGAAGACATCTTCGGGCGAGTATTGGAAAGACTGCGAGTTGCCTGCTCTTTGTCAAAAGGAGATCCTGTTGTCCCACATGAAGCCGTACCAGTCACCATGTAGTCCAGCAGCTGTTCGTTGGCATGCCTGCCTTTGAGCTGCGTTTGCCAAGCATGACGATGTGTATCGATGAAGCCTGGGCTGATTATCTTGTCAGTGCAGTCGATAGTCTCGGTTGCCTCAGATGGTTTGATATCATGCGCGATTCTTATGATCTTGCCGTCTTCGACAAGAACATCGGATTTGGTGGGAACGACGTGGTTGTTTGCATCGTGAATGAGAGCGACACCGCCCCGGAGAAGAAGGGTTTTGGAAGTCATCGCACGAGTCGCCACACCTGTGTATAGTTGTCGCGCTTCCACCATTGCTGAATCCAGGGTTCATATACCTCTTATTACCTTGCAATGTCGCATTACGCCCCGGTCAGGGCTGAGGTCATCGTTGCTTCCTTCGACCCCTCACTCCGCTTTAATCGGCACCCGTAGACGCATCAAAGAGCGAAACGCGACTTTCCATGGCGTTAAGGCTTCACCGAACGACGAGAAACGGAGTTTAGAATATCAGTCAGCTGTGCATCGAGATTTACCTGCATTTCGCCCTATCGAAAGGACACACATATTGTCGCGTGCTGGAAGCTGAGGTCAGCGTCGCGTGTTGGTTTTCGCGAAGGTCGATGACGTAATCTCGTGATCGCTTCAGGGCTCCATCGGGGGCTTCACGCGAGACTGCTTCTCCCACATCAACTACAGAACACCAACATTATGTCTATCCACGACGGATCTGGATCTTACACAATTCCTGAATTTGCGTGGCGCTACAATTGGCGCAGCATCTCGCACGCGCCATTCACAGCCGAGGGCGCCTCAATTCGCAAATGTACTGACATTCGCCAGATCACGCATTATCGATCTTCAAGAGCGCTACCAAGCTCAAGCACGTCGTGATTCACTACTTTCATTACCGCAACAACTCCCCTCGAACGAATACCACGATGCCTTCGAGTCCTCCCTCCTTGCGGGCGTCCATTGCCCGACTAGGGGGTGACCGACATGAACCCCCATAAGGACAACAGTCAGCCCGTCGTAGTCGGCCATCCCACGTTCTTACGAAATCCAGACCCTCGGCGATGTCATACGAAGGTGCATAGGGCTGGGAAGGCCAGACGTCCGGGATGAACCGCCACTCGCTTCATCAACCCTCACGAGGTTGTGGCCTCATGCTGCGTCGGAACACCCGCAGATCATGCAGACTTCGTACTGTTCCAGACTCTCGGCTCGTGCTTGCTGGGACCCACGTCGTTGGTCCTGGTTGCATGCATTATAGCGTGGCAAACCAATGGCATCCAAGCATCTTGGACAATTACACATCGTAGCACGCGGGCTGAACAGGCGACACAGGCTGGTTGTAGTAGCATTCCGCTAGGTCGTGAGCGCGTGCGTAGCTGAACAGTTGCTTCTTCGAAGAGCGTGTCGATTCGCTGGCCCGCGCGAGTGTGATACATGCCTCAGATGGCGTGCTACCACGAAGTCGCTCCGCATAGTCTAAGCGATTCAGGTAAGAGCTCAGCTGGAAAGTCCGCGCATGGGTGATCTCGACCCGATATCCTGGTTGTGCAGCATCTGGAGATGAATCTGGCGCTTATTACGCTGCAAATGAGGCTGGAACCTTACCCAGATTACCGATCCCGAATGTGGCTTTGCGGAGACCCTTGAGTTCTGAACCACGTCCAAGAGCTCAGCAATGAGATTGCATCTTCTTCCGTTTCTGCACACAAAAACTACCTTCTTCGCTAATGTTTCCATCGAAACATCGGATTGATTTCCACATTCAGGCGGAACGTCCCGAATCTTTCGAAGATACACAAAAGGGCGCGCTTGCATGCTCGCCATTTGTTTCAGTGCATTAGGCTTTCACACCTGCCGGCCTGTGTGACAGCCTACTTACAGCGCCGTCTTTCGGGCGCTAGTGCGGCTGCAGTAGACCTCTCCAGGTAAGCATCGCATTCGGTGCCAATGCCGCCAACCGAGATGTCGCAATCCTTGGCATCAATTGCGAACGTTACGCGAATAGTTCCCACCAGATGTCAGTCTGTTGAGATAATGCAAGGCTGGGCATGTCCACCTTTCTTTCTCTCGTTGGTAATCTCTTGTTGAAGAACTCGAAGATAACTAAACAAAGAGGTAACTGCACAGATTGGTTGCGCGGATGATGTTTAGGACATTGTAGGTGTACGCTAGCCATGGCCAACCAGCGACCCCAGATCTCCCACGCGATCCGCCAACGCCTCAAACGCCATATCTCCGCCTTCGGAAGCCCAGACCTCACAAGCTCAACGCTTCGCTGAGCCCAGCCTGCCAAATTCCTCGTCTTCCATCTGCCAATAAGTAGGATTCTGCTCAATGCAAAGCACGTCATGATCGGGCGCTGTGCAGTGATAGCAATGCTGTACTGTGATTTGCACGGAAAGCTTCTCTCGCACGCTCTGCCCACGCCAAGCGCAATGTGCCGTCTTGTTAGACGTCAAATCCTTGGGATGGCGTCGGCCCATAGCACATGCGGCTGTGCCTCCGCCTTGGACCTGGAACTATGTGGCATTTCTATTTGACCGAAGTTGACATTCTCCCACTACTTCTCCACGGGGGGCTCGTTCACACAGCTTGCTATAAGGTTGCACCCATCTTCCCTCAGTCTGGCAAAACGTCGGGTCTCCTAGATACTCGTTACCTTATATCAACGCGCGCGACTCTGGGGACTTCCATACTGCCGGAGCTTTACTTGACTTCTCTAACCTCTTATCCACTGAATCCTAGGAGCCCAGAACACAGCCCTCGCTGACGACGTCCGCCAACATGGCATCCGCTGGTCAGAAAGTAGCCAAGGTGCTTGGAATCAATCTTGACTACCGAAAAGAGCCCGAGGTCTCTGGCGCTGCATCAATATCCTCCGTGGAAACATGTAAATACTGTCTAGTCTGTCATCCGGCAGTAGCTAACAAAGTGTAGACGTCGAGCGCGAACCGACCGCGAAGGAATGGCTTTCTCGATTCAAACCATCAGCAACCGCCACAAAACGCTACCTAAGAAGTTTGTTTCCCTTCTGGGACTGGATCTTCCACTACAACCTGACATGGCTATTCGGAGACTTCATCGCCGGATGTACCGTTGGCTTTGTCGTTATTCCCCAAGGTATGGCATACGCTTTGCTGGCGAAGCTGCCTCCTGAGTATGGACTCTACACCAGTTTCGTCGGTTTCATTCTCTACTGGGCTTTCGCTACATCCAAGGACATCACAATCGGTACTGTTGCCGTTATGAGCACCATCGTTGGCAACATTGTCACCAAAATCCAGGATAAACAGCCGGAGATCGAAGCCGTGGACATCGCTCGGGCTCTTTCCGTCATCGCTGGTTCCGTTCTCCTGTTCATTGGTCTCACACGTCTCGGAAGGATCGTCGAGCTTATTCCTCTGGTTGCAATCACCTCGTTCATGACCGGCGCTGCCATCTCCATTGGAGCCGGTCAGGTACCAGCGCTCATGGGCATCTCTGGCGTCAACACACGTGGTCCCACATACCTGGTCATCATCGACACCCTCAAAGGCCTTGGACGCACAAAACTGGATGCCGCTATGGGGTTGACTGCCCTTTTCATGCTCTACGCTGTCCGCATCTTTTGCAACTTCATGTCGAAGAAGCAGCCATCGAAGCAAAAGGTCTGGTTCTTCGTCAGCACACTACGGATGGCCTTCGTTATTCTGCTTTATATCATGATCAGCTGGCTTGCCAACAAGGACATCCCAGGTCTCCACAACGCGAAGAACGATGTCAAGATGGCGAAGTTCAAGATTCTGGGCCGTGTGCCACGAGGATTCCAGCACGCTGGAGCCCCGAAGATGGACACCAAGCTTCTCTCGGCAATCGCGCCTGACATTCCAGTCACGATTATCGTGTTGATTCTCGAACACATCGCAATCTCGAAGTCTTTTGGGCGCATCAACAACTACGTCATCAACCGTAAGTCATTCTCATGTCTCGGATGAGGAAGTACTAACCGTGCTGTTTAGCCTCGCAAGAACTCGTCGCCGTTGGATTTACGAATGTTATCGGTCCATTCCTGGGCGCCTACCCGGCCACCGGCTCGTTCTCGCGAACCGCTATCAAGTCGAAGGCAGGTGTCCGTACCCCGCTCGCTGGTATCTTCACTGCAGTCATCGTCCTCCTCGCATTGTATGCTTTGACGGCAGTCTTCTTCTACATCCCATCGGCCGCTCTTGCCGCCGTCATCATTCACGCTGTCGGCGATCTAATCACGCCACCCAACGTGGTCTTCCAGTTTTGGGAAACGTCGCCTTTGGAAGTAGTCATCTTCTTCGCAGGTGTCTTCGTAACAATCTTCACGAACATCGAAAACGGCATCTACGTTACCATCGCCGCCTCATTCGCACTCCTACTTTGGCGTCAGCTGTTCACCCACGGAGCTGTCCTAGGCAGAGTCCGGATCTACATCGCCAGCCCAGAGACAATGGCCAACAAGGACGATGGTCACTTCGCCCCTGGATCTTCCGCTGCTGTCCGTGAAGCGTTTATCCCAATCAGCCGCAAGGATGGCTCAAACCCGCTGGTCGATATCGAGACTCCTTATCCCGGTGTACTAATCTACCGCTTCACCGAGGGCTTCACGTATCTCAACCAGCAAGGCTACATGGATGAACTCGTGCATCACGCGCAGACCATCTCTCGCCCTACAACACTCGACAAGTACCAAAAGATCGGTGATCGGCCATGGAATGACCCAGGTAAGTTTCGTCTATGCAATGGGCGCTGTTCAACTTACTGACTTCTACGAGGCCCACGTCGCGGAAAGCAAATCAACGTCGACGACAACCGACCCATCCTCCGCGCCATCATCCTAGACTTCAGCGCCGTCAACAACGTCGACGTCACATCAATCCAAGGACTCATCGACGTCCGCGCCCAACTCGACCGCCACGCCGCACCCGAAACAGTAGAATGGCACTTCGCCTCCATCAACAGCCGCTGGACCAAGCGCGCCCTGACAACCGCTGGTTTCGGTTACATCGACCGCGAACGTTTCGCAGCACGCCAGCACTGGAATCCAGTGTACAGCTACGCGCCTCTTGATAACTCGGCGGCGAAGTTGCACGACGAGGAGGCGCAGGATGAGATTAGTGCTGTTAATAGGAGTAAGGGTTTGCCGAGTGGCAAGGTGACTACTGTACATGGACAAAACAGACCGTTTTTCCATATCGATGTGGCGGCGGCTGTTGAGAGCGCGATTGCGGGTGTTAATGGGAAGCTGGCGCAGACTAGCTCGGGGAGCTCACATGAACATGAAGTTGGTCAGACGGAGGAGTTTACGACCAAACAAGATTAGATAGATCGTTGTATACATTTTTCGGTTTGCCAGGTTTTCGGCACATTCTTCTGACACTTCGCGCACCCTTCTCGTGTGACAAACGCATTGATCTATATCGTTCATTCTTTCATAAGTTCATATATACAAGAGGATGTCACCCCCATCATAATCATATACAGCGAATCACTCCACCCAAACCACCTCATCACCCCATCTATCCACCTACTGTCTAACACACCCCGTCTTATCCGTCAACTCCTTCGGACAAGTAACCTCCTTAAAGCTCACACTCGGATTATCCGCATTCTTGAACCAATCGAACCGCCACTGGCAGCCCGGCTTCAGCTTCTCAGGGAAACCATCACACTCGGATCGCGACGAGATACCGCCGTACTGTTGGCCCCAGCCGTTGGGCGGGGCACCGAACTGCGCGGTACACGCGTTGAAGATGCCGACGCCGCCGCCCGGCATGGCGATGTCGAAGTGGTTGTCGCCGAGGTCGCCGCCGGTGTTTGTGGTTTGCACGATCATTTTCTTGCCGGAGACGGGGCCGGATGTGAATGTCATCCTGGAGGGCGTGGGTTGTTAGTTACAGATTCTTTATTCAAGGTTATTTGTTCGGAGTGGGTGAGGTAGACATACTCGTAGCAAGCACAGCACCAATCACTCTCGGTCTTTCCAGCCAGCTTTACAGCCGCGAATCCATATGCGAGATCGTCGTTGACGGCCCAGGGCGACTGGTCGGTGCACATGTATGCTTCGCCTCCTCCGCTTTCGCATCCGCTCTTTGCGTTTAGGTTCGTGAGCGGGTTGTCGTTCTTGTCGCAGGTGGCGATGGGTTTGTTGACGGGGGCTTTTCCTGCCCAGGCGCAGGAGCCTTTGCAGCAGTCCCAGTAGCGTGTTGTTTTGCCTGTGGATTGGGCGGAGACGGTGGCGAGGCCGGTGGTCAAGGCCAGGAGGGAGAGTTGCTTGATGGTTACCATGGTGGGCGGGCGGTTCTGAAGATCGTTTTTGGGGGAAGGGAGTTGGATTCGGTGAGCTTGTTGCGTTGAGCAGGCCTATTGGAAGAGACCAGTGAGGTTTATATATCCATATACGCCAAGTTACTTCTCCATCATCCATCCCAACACCCATGACGAAACATCATCTAGACTTACCATCTACCCCACAAAACGCCATCAACGCCTGTCCTAGCCACCTTCCCGTCCTCCCACACGGTACCAACCAGCCCTAAGAGCCCTTGCAACCGGTGGCACAAGGCCGCAGCCGAAATGATTTCTGGATCTCAAGAAACGCCCAGCACGTCAGCACCCACTGTTAGCGCTGCACACGTGTAAAAAACAAGAGCAAACATGCTTGCCCACAGTAATCATTTTCATCTATTGGAGTAAGCGGTCAAACTTGGCTTGCGGTGGTAGTGGGCAAAGAGGTGTACGACACATGGGTGCACTAGGACGCGAGGTTCATATATTGCGGCGCTATTGTCGGCTCCTTCTTACTCGCTGGTAAAGTGCCGGGACGTAATTCCCGGACCACCACGTTTAATGAGGCGTCCGGGAGTTTTGCTGGCTGGCTGGATGCTGGACACAGCGGGGTGCATATACGAGGTGTTTGATAAACATTCCGCGAAAAGCTTGATTTTGAAGGACGTTGCGGCTGAATGTACAGTTGCTGATGGTCGTACAAGGACGTCGTGAGGTCAGGAGTTGGAGAGCTGGAGAACAAAGGGCGGTTTAGCGCAGTTTCAGAATCATACCGATGTTCTTCCTAGCATGGAACATGGAAATGGCTAAGGGTCTTCGCGTGCTGCGAAGGATGGGGCGCTCATTGGTTGATTTATGCGATTTAATTTATTGCAGCGTCATTCTTCGGCTGCTCGGGATGTACATGAGGCTGATGATGAGAGGCGATGAAGTTGTGCTTGGAATGAGTGCTGCCGGAGCAAGCTCTTGAGCAGATTCTGCAAGCCACTCCACGTAGGAGGCGTTGGAGTCGGGATTTACAAGTGCTAATCGCAAAGCGTCACCGGAACCCTCGTGCAGAAATACTTGGGTGAGTACCACCACGGCCTTTGTCCATGTTCACATTTGTCGGTGTGACTAGTGATGAAAAATGCGTGGCGCCCCACTGTCTTGCGGCGGCTTGTCTACCGTCCAGCTAACGGCCTGCATGCATCTTGTATAGTTTCGCGCCGTTTTCCACAGTCCTGGTAACCGTCCTGATCTTTGGTGGGTGAAGTGTAAAGTGCCGAGCGACTGTTTTGGCGGGTTGGAGACACTGAGCTGTCGGAGATCGCTCCGGTGCCACTCATTCGTGGCCTGGTGTGCATTCCAATGGGTCCTTACCGAACTCATGAACTCAACTCAGATGACGGGCGTGTTGGCTTGTTCAACATGTCAGCTGGCGGCTGAAGCAGCACACTCCAACATCGCTCTTCAACGCTTTCAGCAATATGATGATTCTGGGACGGTGCAACCAGTTGTCTCTTACATCTCACCATGACCTTGTTGCACAAGTGAGTAGTGAGCCGTAGTTGTATATGTAAACTGCCGTTGAGCGTGCCCTTTCATGAGCGGCGGCCCTTCGCTGCATTTTGTGAAGCTTGACTTCATGATTCAGGCTGTAGACCAACGAGTAGAAGGTGAATCTCAGCAAAAAGACGCGAGAAGCGGAAAAAACAGCGTTGAAAATATCACACCAAAGAACGCCCTCCACCTCTCATGCCACCAAGGGTATTCGGAAACAATAAGGTCGAACCCGTGTGACCTGAGGACCCGGTCGAACATCAGCACCAACCCAACGACTCTTACAGTATGCTTGTTGATCAACAGAGCTCTACGTTTGCAGCAGTTCTCCATGCGCGCTCAGCATCACCGCTGACGATCTCTCCCTTCCACATATCGGTTGTACCATATCAGAGCCGTAATGCTCAGAACGAAGTAAAGTACATAACCGGCAGCGAGGGCCCACACTTGCCGTTGAGTAATCTCGGGATATTGGACAGCGATACCCGGCTGCTGCCGTTGGAAAAACTGTTGACTCATGGTAGAAGTTTGGTAGTGCAACGTTCCTTTTGGACTGGTTTGCCGTTGCTTCGCCGTTACTTGGGTCGTATTCGGGCGCTGAGCGTTGAGGAAGTTAGTATGCTTTTTTGAAAGACAAGGAGTAGTCGTGAGGTTAGCTTTTATACACAGTTGATACACGCAAGGCTATTGAATCAAAGAAGCAAGACTGGAAGGGGATGTTGTGAAGCCGACAAAGAAGAATGTGTGAAGACAGGCATTGAAACAAGACCCCTTCGTGGTTTGCTGCTGTTCCTTCGCGGACAGAAGAAAAACATTCATGCGCGTTGTTTGAACCACCGTCGCATCGGCAGGACTCTCGTATCACGACCCGAACTTTGTCGCGCATAATTTCTTTTCAGTGTTGAACGACTCCAAGCGGAGTAGCGTGAGTGGTGGACTTGACAGGAACGGCGGAAATGAGGTATCGTGAACTGCCCATGGGACGTCGAAGCATGGAATATCCCTCACAAAGATCAGGTGAGGGCACTCCGAGGGTACTCCTTTTGTCGACGCGCGTTCATTTGGATTGATGATGGTGATCAACGCCAGGATACAAACTTCCACAATGAGGCAGCAGGAAATGCCGATCCGAATCCGCGATGCCCGAACCAGCCACCTGAAACGGGCCATGACGTAGCGCTAGAAGCGGTAGGCGCAACGCCTCATGCCCCAGGTTACCAGCCCCTCGGCACCCATTACCACACCCAAAACTCTGCCACTGTGCAGCTTCACGCCCCCGTAAGCTCGTACGGCGCAGCCCCAGGGTAGCATTCGCAATGCTGCAAGGTCAGCGCCGTGCTTCATAACGCGCCATTATCATCATGCCCTGCTCACCGCGGTTTGTGGCGATCCTACTCGCACGGGAATGACACGCCGTGACAGGTCCGGCGCATTTGACGAATCCACACCGGGGGCATTGATCGCCAGGTCGCTTCGGCCACTTGCGCACACGGTCATGCCAAAAGGTTATGATCGCCATAGCCTACAAGTCGCTCAAGAGGAGCATGCCTCCTCCCTTGAACCTTCCTCTTCTTTCCTTATTCATACGAACTACACTCCGCTGCTACCTCGCTCCCCGCTTTGCCCAACCTCCGCCGGCATCCGATGGCTACGGCACCGCATCTCCACTCTCTATCAGAACACTAGCGAGATCCATACACACGTTCATTCTTCTTATTACTATACTGTCCTTTTCACCCACTACACTCTTTACTCAGACTATTCTCGGTTCAGCCCGGCGCTGCACCATCCTTACTAGATCGCCATGCCTAATCGCTCCTTCCTATGCCGACTAATCTTCTGCGCCGTATTCGCCGTATCCGTCCTTAATATCTTCACCAAGGCCACCCCGCCGCTCTTCCACGCCGCAAAGACCTCCGCGCATGACCACCCCCAGGAACTCTTTTGCCCGCAGTCCAAGCTCGCCGATGACGTCTTGGTCGTCCTGCGAACCGGGGCCACTGAATCACTCGAAAAGGTGCCGGTGCACCTCCGTACCACGTTACGTTGCGTCCCCCACTATGTTATACACTCGGACCTGGAAGAGGAGATAGACGGACACGTCGTCCACGATGTCCTCGAAGGAGTTAGCGAAGAGACGAAGAAGACGAATGACGACTTCAAGCTGTACCACCAACTACAAGAGCACGGAAGACGAGGCGTGAAACAAGAAGTTCTCACATCGCTATCCGGATCGTCGCAGGGTGACTACCTGCGAACCGACAACGATGGCTGGCAGCTCGACAAGTGGAAGTTTCTCCCCATGATCGACCAGGCACTCGAGGAGAAGCCAGACGCCAAATGGTATTTCTTCATGGAAGCCGACACCTACGTCAACTGGAACAACCTACTCGAATTCCTCAGCAACTTCGATGACAGCAAGTCCTACTACATCGGCAAGCACCTCTTCATCAACGAAGTCGAATTCGCCTACGGTGGCGCAGGCTTCGCCCTCTCTGCCCCCGCCGCACGTAAAGTCTCCGCCCAACGCTCCCCCCGCATCTCCGAGTACGAAGACTTTACCAAAACCCACTGGGTCGGCGACTGCGCTCTTGGCAAAGTCCTCGAAGACGTAAACATCCCCCTCCACCGCGCCTTCCCCCACTTCCAAGGCGACTCCCCCGCGACGCTCGATCCCGCGACTTCCAAAATCGACCGCGACCTCTGGTGCTACCCGGCTGTAACGTATCACCACGTTTCGCCCACCGAAATCCAAGAACTCTGGTCTTTCGAACAGGACTGGTACAACAGACACCCGATTCTGCTGCGCCACCGCGACATCTTCATGGAGCTCGTGCGCCCTAAGATCGGTCCTTCAGTCACAGCCTGGGACAACATGTCCGCAGACAAAGAATACAACGCCCACGACCACTCCGCCGTGGCCAACGAACTCGAGCGCAACGCCTGGAAATCTTTCGAACACTGCCGTACGCTGTGTGAGGAGCAGGATGATTGCATGCAATTCTCTTTCAACGAGGGCAGTTGCGCAATTTCCAATAGCTTCAAACTAGGCTACGCGAAGCCCGGTGCGCGTATACGGAGTGGCTGGATGCTTGATCGCGTGGACGATCTCTTCAGGAGTCTGGAAGAGCAGTGTGGACTCCGGGATTGGTTTGCACCAATGGAGAGTCCGAAGGAAAGGGAGAATAGTGAGTTGAAGATTAAGATGAGGAGGAAGAGGAGTGTGATGTGAGAGTCCCTCACTCAACAACAGCGATGGTCTTGCGTTACAGCAGCATCAGCATTGGCGTTTTTTCATGGTTTGGTGGTTTGCTTGCGCTTTTTTTGTGTGGTTTGATTTGTTTGGAATGCAGATGGAGATGATGATACCCCCCCAAGACACTCGCTTTAGATTCATAAGTTTCAGTACTATATACTACATCGTTGGATGGATGGATGGATGGACGGAAGGCTGCACTGCGCAGGACCTTAACTCAAGTAAAGAAGAACAAATAAACAAATGTTAAAACAATCTCGCAACTGCTCGTCCTTCGTCGGCCTTGTACTTGACGTGGGAACGTGATTGTCGTCGCTCTTGGCCTAAGTGCCGTCCTTCAAACTTCGAGCTCCTGTAATCGTTGCTAGCGGTAAACCGACTGCGTCTACTTGCCGGTCGTGATAAGAGATGGCGACGATGAAAATGCCATGCCTCTTTACTTGGTCGGTATGCGTAACACAGATGAAATGAAGTATTCTGCTATAGTAAAGGTAGCTTGACATGTACAGTTTCAACAACTCGTCAGTTCGCTGTGAGAGTGGGTATCTGTTCCGCCATATTCTTCTTGGACGACGTCGAAGCAAACCTCTGTTCTTGTAGGCTATGACACCTAGGCATTAAATGTCACGTATTGAAGCACCCCACAGTCATTCAAAGTCCAGAACTCAGTCTATCAATCGTACTATTACACATTGTCATCCCTCCATACAGGCACTAACTACATCTATCCGCGCTCGACAAAGACAAGTTACAAAGCCTCGCTTTTCGCTAGATCTCTCTTTCATCCCACCATCATAAAACACACAAGACAGTTCAGGTGAGGTAAGGTAAAGATTCTCATCATCGATAATGCTAAGATGCAGTATATGACGCACGCAAGGCTATATCGCAAATCCACCGATCAAAGCAGAACAGAGAGGGGTATGTTGTTGTAATGAAGGATGACTACCTAGACAGCCTTCAGGACGGTATATTGATGAGAAAAAGAAAAAGAAAAATGGTTGTGGGTTTCGCTATCGCTGGAAAGAACGCCTGACCCAAAGCCTCGCTGATGCAATTGCTATCGTTTCCGATGACAGCAATCCGTGGAGCGGGCGAGTATTAATGCATGTACTGAACTTGGTATCGAACGGGATGGTATCAGAAGAGATGGGAAGAGGAGACACAATGCTATGTCGACTACATCGCAATCGCCGTTGCGGTGCTATCGTGTTTGTGTTCCTCGGGACTCTCGGCATACGCCAACAGCGCCTTCGCGTCATCGAGGCCCGAGATCGCAAGACCCTTCTCGTCTTCTTCGTGAATGGTGCTTTCTTGGATGCTCTCTTTCGAGATTTCGCTCTTCCTTTCGGCATCTTCAATTCCGTCTTCGTCCATGAGGTTTGGTGGCCGTTGACGCATCGCGCGTGCCTTTTCCAGTGAGATGGTCTTTTGCTGGTAGGTGGTCGTAAAGGGAAGGGCTTCGTCTCGGTCGATTGTGGCTTTCATGAGCGCAGCCATCCAGAGTCGGCCTACGGCAAGGCTATCCACTGCGAAGTAGTGCACAATGGGCTTTGTGAATTGAACACCTTTCTGAAGCCCTGCACGAGGTGGCACAAGCTTGAAGATGAACATGCCTGAGACGTCTTCTTCCAGACCTGGAATACCTTTGGCGCTATCCGCAGATGCTGTTGTCTGTATGGTGGCATTTTGCGGGGATGTAGGTGAGTTGGCCGCACCTGTTAGAGACGCATGGAGGCCTGTCATCCTCTCGTTGTTCGCTGGTAGCACGCGATGCGATGAGATGTCGATGAGACCTTTCTCTTCGGTATCATTCTCCGTGTAGTAGTAGGCCAGGCGGCGGCCACGAAGCACGAATAGGCGCGTCTTCCATGTCGTCATAAGACTCGAAGACTTCTTCTTCATCCAGCCGCTATAGTCGCAGTTCTCCATGGCTTGTTGGGGAGTGATTTGCTGACGGCCCTTGAGATATGCACTAGTGCCATGCTTCTTGGCCTTTTTCTTTGCGTCCTTGGGCGTGGTCGAGCCAGCGGTAAACCGCCTGTTATTATCGGCCTTTTCAAGCTCGAAACTCTTCGACAGTGATGTGCCAGAGGGTGTGCTAGATCCCGTCCGCGAGGGTGACTGCATCGGTGAGTCCTTGTGTTGTGTGGTGGAAACATCCGCGGAGCTCAAATTCGCCTTCTCGCCGCCGGTTATCGCGTCTGATATCGCTCGAAGACCCCTAGATTGTGATCCCTTTTTACTGCTGAAGAACGAGCGCGTATGAGATGGTACAGCAGCTGGCGAAGGTGATGCACGACCTGTGCTTGAGGTCTCGCTACCTGCGACGTGGGGCGAATTCGCAATGGCGTCAATGCTGTGCGCATCATATGAGAGCTTGGTCACGGTTGGATGCGTTTCGCTTGCTGGCTTGAGAGGGCGCACAAAGTCGAATGCACTAGAGCTGCGCTCGCTTTTGGTGCTGGTACCGTAGTACTGTTTCGCGGCAGCGGAAATTGGACTCGCTGGCCGGAGAGCCGAATCTGCGCTGCCGATTCGGCTGTGTCGGCGACTGAAGGACGCGCGCTGTGCGCCTTCGGTCGTGTAACTAGCATTGCGTGAATGGCTCGCGGCGCTTTCTCTCTTGCGCAGAACGTTCCTGCTACTCTTGCGGTTGTCGACCTCGCCTCCGGAAAAGTAGCCGCGGTCAAGATCACCGGAGCCTAAGCCGGCCTCGCGGAAATCGAACGTAGTTCCGTTGGTACTTGAAGCATGATGGTGATGTGATGAGACCGGTCTGCCGATATCTTGTACGGACTTGGACAGCGATGTCGAACCCATGGTCCAGTTGCGGTCGAATGATGGCGTCTTCCTGTGTGCGTGGGCGGCCATGGGTGCAGATGTAGGCGGCTTCATTAAACTGGGCGTGCTAGGCGTGGGTGGTCCCTGCCCGTATTCGATAGAAGAGTGGCGTCTGCTGTGGTTCATACTTCGGACGGAAGCAGCGGAGGGTCGTCTAGGCGAACCGGGCGTAGGTGAGGCGGGCGTGTGCTGGATCAGTGGAGAGGTCGCGTCGATGGTAGACGATCGGCCGGCGGATGAGGCTGCACGTGGGATGTGCTGACGGCTGGTGTTGCCTCGGGATCCGATGCTTTCCCTGAGCGTCGGTATGCGAGGAAGGACCGCCCCAGTTGATGCAGCCCTGCTCCTTCCCATATCGGCTGGAAACTCGTCGGGGCTCTCTGAAGGCGGCAGGAGAAGGGTCGTCCTTGCAGCTTCGGCTTCCTTCGCGTTCTTGACCTCGGACTGCAAGGCGTTAATCTTCATCCACGTGCGCAGTCGCGGTCCCATGGGGCCCAGATTGAATTCCTGCATGAAGATGAAGTTGCGGTCCACGCCCAGCAGCGCCTCGCCATCGATTTCTTGGTCGCGGAACACATCGCAGTGCTTCTTCTCCACACCCGCGTCCTCGAGGTATTCGGCGACGCGCGCAGGCGACCATGTCTTGACCTCCTCCTCGGTGTGCCAGCTCTGCTCCTCCTCATCGGTCTCCTGCCCGTTGATGTATGACAGCCGGTGGTGGCTGCTGTATTCGCTTCCCGAGTCATTGGACCGTATCTCCTTGCCCACAGCGCTGTGGCGCGGCGTGCTCATGCCCGTGATGTGCTCGTCGATGACGCTCAGCGTTTCGTGCATGACGGGACTTCCTATCGTCTCGTCTTCTGGTGGCGCCTCCCCGCTCAACGTCATGCTGATGCTCCGCGGGCCATTTTGTATAGATGTTCGGCGAGCAACTTCTGGTCCCGACGCGATGTTCAGGGGCTCTGTGGGTGCCGACTTTAAAGGTGGAGGGGCGCTCGTGGAAGCTGGTGGCTGTGCGGCGGTGGTCGGCGGCTCAGAAATGGCCATGCCGGGCTGAGGCGATGGTTTTTCTGATTGCACGGACATTTGCGAGGGATTGCGCGAGAGCATGGTCGGAATGGGCGTTGGTTTGGGTGCTGGCCGTGTGTATACTGATATACATCAGCTGTGTTGCTCGCAAAAGGAAGCATGACGATCAGATAGATAGGGGATGTGCACTACTGTGCTGCCGTCGATAGCGCAACATACCTTCAGGAAACAGGCCGTTCTCTCCCGTCTCGGTGTTCTTGCCTAGAAACCAGCCATCGCCAAAGTCGTCGTCGCGCTCAATCAGCTCGATGCGGTCTCCGCGCCTCAGGCTCAGCTCGTCGGGACTGCGGGCGAGGAACTCGTCTGCAAGTGCTGTCAGCAGCTGTCGCTGGCATGTGCGACGCAGTGGCAGCACGGGTGAGGGGAAACATACGCACTACGACGAGGGTATCGCCAGGCCGGCAGCCCTCGGTGTGGGTTCGTTGCGCCATGCTTACAGCTGCTCTCCAAGACTGGGTCGGGTCGGGGGGCGTGTATGCGGGCAGTCTCCAGATCAGTACAGGTGGTTCATCCTCGTGGGAGTTCGCGCTATCGGCGGGCGAGGCGGGCGCAACAGTCGGACGTTTGGCAGACTATAAATGCTGGCTACCGAGCCACCGCTACCTGAAACAGCCTGACAGGTGCGCAATGAAACAAAGTGGCGATGTTGTTTGGAGCGAGGGGGGAGGTATATTGCTTGATCCCGTCGTCGTGCGGCTGCCGGGGGTGTCGTGTCTATACTTGGGTGGTGGGACAGAGAGGCATGAAGCTAGCGATGCGCATCCTTGGAAGCAGTAGGCGACCTAGCCTGCATGCGATATGAATTACGTCGGTTGGCAAAACCACGGACGCACCGGGCGCTCCAAAGCAAATCTCGACTAGGCGCTGCGCCTATTGGCAGAGTGGGTTTGTACGGCAGCGGGCAGCCCTGGAGCGGTTCTGACTTGGCCGCTGACGATTTGCCGTCCACCTGGCGTCCAGAGCCCCGGCGGCGCCCATGGCCTTGGCCCAAAGCGACCTGGCATGTTCGCGAAACATCGCTGTCCGTGCGCCATGCCATCGGG